CCACTCGGGTATGTGTCCCCCCCTGATTGAATAATAGATGAGATTTTTCTTCCTCTTTTCTTTTCTTGTTTTTTTTTTTTTTTTTGAAGTGGGCAAAGGAGATCGAATTCGGTATTTTTGTAGCAACTGCAGAGGAGATGGCGGGGCAGATGAGAGAATGAGGGTTGTCCTGCACAGAGGACATCCGCAGGAGATGAACGAAGATCGGGGGCGTCGTTCATCTTGATTTTCCAATGAGATTTTGTCAAATACGGCTTGTTGATGTGGGTCTTCTTTGATCACGATAACTTGCTGGTGTGCGTCGGGATTGATGTGATGACCGCCCAATGGGGCAATAATTAATTAATGTGAACTATTCACGGTGAATAGGAAGAAGTGTATCCAAGATTCTAGATCTCCCATTTTGCCTCAACCGTTTTGATTTTCCTCATATTTAATTTTTTACCTTTACAGCGTAGTTACCTCGCCAATCCTCATATCATATAAAATCCCATGCTTGAAAACTATCACATTCTTCTTGGACGGCCATCATTCAATCGCCAAGGTCAAGAAACAAAGGGAAAGAAAAGAAAATTTTTCTTTTCTTTTCTTTTTTCGTTTCTATTGTTTTTTTTTTTTTTTTTTTTTTTTTTTTTTAGAAGAAACAATCAATCCCCCAGAACACGGAAGAATCGATCTCATCAACCCGCACACCCCTCCAACGCACCCCTCCAGCCCACCAGTCCAGCCTCTTCCACCGCCTGGTTGTTCTCTCCCATGATACTACTCCGTAGTTGGTTAACGGTTACAACACCAAACTAACCTAACCAAACTAACCGTGAAGCCACCTGAGCTAAACCTGGACTAACTTCGCAGAACTAACTAAACTAACTTACTCCGTACTTAGTACGCAAACTGCGAAAGGGAAAAAAAAAAGGGATTCAGGAACAAGTTCCCCGAAACGGAACTCGTTCTTGTTCCCCTCTACGGAGTACCTGGGTTCTGGGCCCTTTTTGTTTTATTTATTTATTTATTTTTATTTTCGCCCATTGTTGGTTTTTCGATCACTGGGTTGGAAGAATGCTTGAAGAGGGCGAAGGTGGGGAAGGGGGAAGGGGTTTATTTATTGTTATGTTTTATGTTTTTCCTTTCACTTCCATCTCTCTCACTCTCTCCCCCTCTCTTTATTGAGTGATTGGTTGAATTTGTCCACCACATTTGAAATGGCTTGCGACGGCGCAGGATATTTTATCAACAATACCTCTATCCCCTCGTCTGGCCACTAGGATACAATTAGCGCAAAACTATTAATGTAACAACTAAGCTGTTAGCTCTGAAGTACCAATCAATAATTTCTCTATTAAATTCTATGTAATTTGATTTGTTGATATTTCTTCACTATCTCACATTTTCTGCTCTACACATTCTGCAATCTTGAAATCTTCTCATATTCACTGCAAATGCAATCATTATTCATTTTGAAATAAAAATATGACTTTTACAAATAATTTTCAATTCTTCAATGCTTCTTTTAATTGATTGACTGATTTTTTTTATTAGCTAGTATAAAAACAGATGTAAAGTGAAAGCAATTTGTCAATGAATTTTTTATAAACATTTCATTTCTAGAGAGTGTTAGATTCAAATTCATGAAATCTTTTCATCACTTTTCAGTTGTCAATTTGCTCAATAATATTGATTCACAGAATTCATACATCTTATTCTTTTTCTATATTTTAAAATATGATATTCAAAATATTGTCTGTTCTATCAATGTTTATACAAAAATGCAGATATTAAAGAATTCAATCATCAATTTATAAAATTGACATTTAATTATTTCTACAGGAATCAAAGTATTTCTTAAATAGATTATTTATATAAAAGTGCTTAAATCTTCACCAATTGAAGATTATTGAAATAAAAATAATGTTCAAAAACTGATTTTTTTATTAAAATTTCATATAAAATAAAATTATTTGAGCAGTTTGAAATATATATTCATATATTCAATTTCTCACAGATTAGAATTCTCCTTCTCTTTTATACAGAAATTAAAAATCTTTATATTTCAACTTTTATATAACATATCAGAAACACTACAACTTAGATTCAAATCTTTTCATTAATGAAATGATGATTCAGTTTTTTGAATGATCTAAATACACAGTTAAAATGTCTCAAAAATCAATCAAATAGAGATATAAGATTTTTAAACTGGAAGAATAAAACTATTTTTAATTTTTTTTCATATCTCATAATAATCTCTATATAAATACAATGTTTCATATTTTAAAATTAATTAAGACTAAATCTTTTATAATGGAATTGATTGAACAGCTGTCAGTATTCTTACAAGGCACTGAGCAGCAGAGCACTGAGCAGCAAAGCATCAAACAGTAAAGCATTAAGCAGCAGAGTATTGAGCAGTAGAGTATTGAGCAGTAAAGCACTGAGCAGTAAAGCACTGAGCAGCAAACATTGAGCAGCAATGCATTAAGCAGCAGAGCACTGAGCAGTAAAGTGTAAGAAACCCGCACTAAGGTGCCAGTGCTAGGCCGGAATTAGCGATAGCCCTAAAGATATGACATCGCCGAACATAACACCACCAACGTCATATCAGGATATGACATCGCCGAACATAGCACCACCAACGTCATATCAAGTTTGAAATCAAGGCATTATCTTGCCACTTGCATCATACTACGCCATCTACATCATAGCAAGTTCGATCTGCTTATGATACTGTGTGTATATAGCTAGCAGCTGGTCCAACCTTCTAGGGACCAGCGGATCATTCTGTTATAATCTGACCCCTACGTTCTACACCCTCAATATCTAACTACTTGATCCGAATCCTCTCCGATATATCACCGTATTATCTCCTACTGCTTGATCCTCGTAGAGTCCTAAGGACCAACCGAAATATAAGCAGCCATTTCCAACATCGCTGCTTACAGTTTGATCCGCTCTATCCCTTACCTTTACAAGGACCGAGCATCTTGATCATCATGTCTGAGGCCGAACAACCTACGAATACTCCTCGATCAGTGATCGCTGAATCAGCACCAGCAGTATCTGCCTCAGCAAACCGGCGGGAAATCCGACTTGCCGATCCACCTGCCTATTATGGCAGTAATCTACATGAATATAATATATTCATACGAGCTCTCGAACGTATATACAAGTTGAATCCAACTCAGTATGATACCGATGAGGTCAAGATCGTTTATGCTTCGGGTTGGTTACGGAAAACAATCGAAACCACTTGGGCTACTAAAGAGAAAGAGCTCGAAAGGTTAAATCAACCTTTTTCATGGAAGGACTTTAAGGAATTCCTGCATAACGATCTGGAGGATGTACGCAACCGTGGCTTTACGGCAGCGATTCGCTTTGAGGAATTGAAGTGCCCACTGGAACAGCCAGTGCAACAATTTGCCTCCAGATTTAATGAGATTCGCGATGGTCTAGCAACCGATCCGGAAAAATTATTTGCTCAGCTATTCTTTGCTAAGTTGCCAACCACGATACAGGATCAAATTCAAACTCACCATGATCCCCCTACTAATCAAGCCGAATTACTTGCGTTAGTTGCTCGAATTCAAGCCGTTTACAAGGGCCATACTAGGAGGAGCAACAACAAGCAAGAGTCCTTTTCACAGAATAGAGAGAATGACAATAAGCGTGGAACCAAGCGATACTCTGATGGTTCCCCTTCGAAGGCGCAACGAAATTTAACCTCAGCTGGAAAACTCACCATAGAAGAACGTCAGCACCGTATGAATAACAATCTTTGCCTATTCTGTGGGGAGACAGGTCATATCCTTAGGGATTGTACTAAGAAAGGAAAACGAACTCAAACCACTGGTAAACCGAAACCGACACCTGTGATAGCTCATATCACAGAGACTCAGGAGGATGAGGAGTGACTAGATGGTAGATTCCGCATGTATATCACTATCCAACTAGACACCCCTAGTGGTCCTGAGCCGATTCGATGCCTAGTCGATTCTGGAGCAGATTTCAACTATATCTCTCACACTTACGCCACTTCAAAAGGATGGAAACGGATTGGACCACCATCTCAAGTGCAATATCCTGACGGACGACGAGGATACCGATATGGCATCGTTAATGCTACTCAAAGAGCCACCGATGGGCTAGGTGAAACTCGAGAGAGCAAACTTAGTTTCCATTCAGTTAACCTAGCAGATGAGGATCTTTATCTAGGTCTTCCTTGGTTAAGAACAGTTAATCCTTTGATCGATTGGAAAGCACTATCATGGCGACATCGAATCGGAGATACTAGGATTGAAATAGCAGAACCAGAAGAATTTATTCGTTCTATGCAAGAAACATCTACAACACCACTCTACTTTTGGGACGGCAACACCGAATCTTCTTCGGAACGACTATGTTCTATTAACGAGACTACCTTACCTCAAAATCTACAAGATCTTTTAACTGAATTTAAGGACATCTTTTCTGCTGAAGCAGCAGCCAAGTTGGATGAGAACCCCATCATATCACATCATATTCGATTACAAGATGGAAAGGAACCCCCTTACGGACCTCTATACAATCTTTCGATAGCAGAACTAGATGCCCTACGCAAATATCTAGAAGAGATGCTGTCACGGCAGTGGGTTCGTCCTACAAAGAGCCCTGCTGCTGCACCTATCGTATTCGCAAAGAAAAAGGATGGAACTCTACGCCTTTGCGTAGATTATCGAGGCCTTAACAAGATCACTATAAAGGATCGATATCCAATTCCTCGCATTGAAGAAATGTTAGATCGATTACAGAACGCCGTCATCTTCTCTAAGATAGACCTCCGAGATGCCTACTATCGCATACGGATAGCAGAAGGGGATGAATGGAAGACTGCATTTCGAACCCGATACGGCAGTTATGAGTTCCGTGTTATGCCTATGGGGCTCTGTAATGCCCCTGCTACATTCCAATCTTATATCAATGAGGTGTTAAAAGGCCTTGTTGATATCTGCTGTATTGTTTATCTCGATGACATCCTTATCTATTCCCAAAATACCGAAGATCATACGAAACACCTCCGATTAATTTTCGAACGTTTACGGAAATATCGACTTTATGCTAAGGAAAGCAAATGCACCTTTTTCACCACTGAGGTTGAGTTCCTTGGCTATATTGTATCACCTACCGGTATAGCCATGGATCGAAACCGAGTCGAAACCATTCTAAGTTGGCCAGAACCTAAGAATATCCGAGATATCCAAGTTTTCATAGGATTTGCAAACTTCTATCGAAGATTTATATATGCTTTCTCACGGATAGCCGCACCTCTTACGGATCTCCTTCGAAATGCTAAGGACAAGCAAACTAAGTTCTTACTTAGTGATTCAGCAAGAAAAGCTTTTGTAAACCTGAAAGAAACATTTGCACAAGCTGTTCTACTGGTCCATTATGACCCGCGGAAGGAAACCCAAGTCGAAACGGATGCAAGCAAGGATGGTATTGCTGGCATTCTATCTCAACGCCTTGAATCACCACCAGAAACTTACCAGGAAGCTATGAAAATAGCATCTGAACGAAGCCAAAACATCTGTAATTCGGTGCCTACTCGAAGAAAAGAGTGGAGGCCCATCGCATTTTTCTCACAGAAGCTTTCTGGAGCTTCTAGGAACTATGACACCCATGATTTGGAACTTCTGGCTATAGTGGCATCATTTCGCCACTGGCGGCACTATCTGCAAGGCAATCCGTACCCAATTCAGGTCATAACCGACCATGATAATCTGAAATACTTTCTTTGTAACAAAAGCTTGAACAACCGCCAGGCGCATTGGGCGGAAGAGCTATCTGCTTATGATTTCTATGTGGTCTATCGACCAGGACGGCTAAACCCCGCCGATCCACCTTCAAGACGTCCAGACTATATCATTTCCCCTGGGGATGTAGACCCAAAGCTGTCATGCTGCCGGTACTACAGAAAAAGATCCGCCAGGGACTTCATGGCTCTAGTCAGAACAGCTTAGTAGATACCGAGTCGCCTTCGGTACGGGGAAGCTCAGATTGTTCTGCAGAGTATTCTTGTTTCCGAGGTTCCTTTGGAACTGGCACTGAAGGTCATGAACTTCTCGTGCCACGTCTAGCAGTGGTAAGAGCTGCTGAGGACGAAACAGGCCACGAACCGCCTACTAATCGGCTTCTAGACTTCATTAAGGAACTGCAGGAGAGGGACGCCTTTACTGTAGCCCGAAGCCAAGAAGTTGAGAATAGCGCGGAGCCTGGGATTCTTAGAGAAGCCTCCGATACATCCGGAGATCCTTCGATCATCTGGCGAGTAGATGAAGATCGTGGACTTCTACATCGCAATCATGCTATCTACGTTCCCCCTAGCAAAGCAATCACCCAGGAGTTGTTGCGAATTCATCATGATGACCCCTGGGCAGGCCACTTTGGTATTGCCAGAACCTTAGAGCTTCTACGTCGCAAGTATTACTGGAATACGCTCCGAAAAGACGTCGAAACGTACGTCAGAGAGTGTGATATCTGCCAGCATGTTAAAGCTAAGAGGCATAAGCCATACGGGCAACTTGCCAAAATTCCTGTGCCTACTAGGCCGTTCAGTTCTCTTGCCATGGATTTCATTGTCGGATTACCACCAGTAGTTCGAAAGGGAATCACTTATGATAGTATTTTGGTCATACTAGACCGCTATACTAAGCTAGCTAAGTACTTTCCTTGCATGACTTCAATTACTGCTCCTGATTTTGCAGAGTTGTTCATAGATACTATTTTAAGCGATTACGGTTCGCCTTCGTCTATCATATCTGATAGAGACAAGTTGTTTACCAGTCACTACTGGTCAACATTCTGTTATTATTTACGAGTTAAGCGCAATCTGAGTACGGCATTCCACCCTCAAACCGATGGGCAAACGGAACGCCAGAACCAAACCTTAGAGAACTACTTACGAGCATACTCGAACTACCACCAGGATAACTGGGTGGATCTGCTTCCGCAGGCACAATTTGCCTACAATTCTGTTTCCCAGGCATCTATTGGCATGCCACCGTTCCGAGCACTACTAGGTTACGATCCTGTTCCACCGAGAGGGGTGATTGATAAAGAATCTGAATCTGCAACTTCTGTTGATCTAGAACCCTTAGCTACAGCAAGGGTTGAGAAATTACAAGAAATACAGAGCAAGCTTCAAGTTACTGTCCGAAAGTCTTTCGAAAAGCAAGCGGAATACTATAACAGAAGGCATCAGGATAAAACCTTTGCCATTGGAGATCCAGTTCTCCTATCTTCCCTGAATATAGCAACTTCTAGACCATGCCGCAAGCTTGAAGATAAATGGTTTGGACCGTTTACAATTCTGAACACCATCGGATCGCAAGCATATCGATTAGATCTTCCGAGAACCTTTGGATCTATGCACCCTGTCTTCCATGTTACCCTGTTAGAACCTTATTACCAGCGACCGGGTGAAGAACCTAAGAAACCTCCTGGTATCCTACTCGAAGGCAGAACGGAGTATTTTGTTGAAGCTATTTTGGATAAACGATTGCACCGCAATAAGGAGCAATATCTTGTTAAGTGGGAAGGATATCCTAATACTGAGAACACCTGGGAACCTCCTGAGAATCTTTTGAACTCCCGCAATCTTCTCGAAGAATATGAGAAGGTAAATCGAAATCGACCCCTTGTTAAGAAGAAACGTTCTAGAATACGACATTAGTAGTTCTCCTATTTTTTCCCTAAAGGGTTTTGGAGTTTCTACTTATCTACGTTTGCGCTTCGAACCCCAAAGGGTTCTTGAAGCTTAGTGGCACTCTTCTCCTTTTTATCCTACAAGGTTTTAGGAGTTTAATGAGGCTACGTTACGATTTCGAACTCTGATCAGAAGGAAAAAGCAAAGAACCCCTCAGAACGCCATCTGCAATTTAATTTTCCTCCATGATTCCAAATTCCCTTTCAATTTTGCCAATCCTTCCTACAAGCTACGATTTGTTAGTGATTATCTAGTGAAATCTCTTTGGATATACATACTGTATAAAACGTCGTCTCCAAGCATTCAATATTCTGGGCCATCTCCCCCATCCGCATCACCATTTTTTCCATTTTTTCATTCATTTCCTTCTGAGCGTCCTCAATACGCTGCAGAATCGCAAGAATTTCGAGGGCGGGGGCTGGGTTCGGTTCGACCACAGGCGCAGCTCCACAATCTCACAGGACAACAACATTCGATGTCGGTTAATACCGCGAACTACCTACGATTACCCTACGATTTTTTGGCCCGCTGGGACAGCGGCCCTTTCAGGGGGGGCAGTTGTAAGAAACCCGCACTAAGGTGCCAGTGCTAGGCCGGAATTAGCGATAGCCCTAAAGATATGACATCGCCGAACATAACACCACCAACGTCATATCAGGATATGACATCGCCGAACATAGCACCACCAACGTCATATCAAGTTTGAAATCAAGGCATTATCTTGCCACTTGCATCATACTACGCCATCTACATCATAGCAAGTTCGATCTGCTTATGATACTGTGTGTATATAGCTAGCAGCTGGTCCAACCTTCTAGGGACCAGCGGATCATTCTGTTATAATCTGACCCCTACGTTCTACACCCTCAATATCTAACTACTTGATCCGAATCCTCTCCGATATATCACCGTATTATCTCCTACTGCTTGATCCTCGTAGAGTCCTAAGGACCAACCGAAATATAAGCAGCCATTTCCAACATCGCTGCTTACATAAAGTATTAAATAACATTTGAAATTGAATAACAGTAAAGAAATAGCTGATTATTCAATTTATATGAACAATTACTTCACCTTTATTGCTCTATTTCATTATCTTTAAAAGTATGAAATTGAAGTATGTGAAATCATTTATTTTGTTAATCTGTTTTCTTTTTTATAAAAATTGAAAAACTCTGAATTATCTACTCATATTCTCTACAATATTCTGTGTATTATCTCTCAAAATGAAATTCTCTATCTTGAATGAAAAGATAATAATATAATATTACTACTGTCTACAATTCATTTGTCAGATAGATTTGTTGAATGTGTCAGAAAACATTCAGAATTGATCTCTATTAATGAATTTTAAATTTGAAGAATATATATTTGAAAATAATTGATAAAAAGTAGTGAATATTTCTATCATTATTAATGATTACAATCATAATATGAATGGAATTGATCTAGTAAATCAACATAGAGTTTTTTATGAAATTCATATGCTCATCAATCGCATCTGATTATCAATTTTATACTGAATTATTGATTATACTATTGTCAATGTTTATATTTTTCATTAACTGATTACTACTGATATTATTATATCTCATGTTGAATTCTATCAGCAGCTTTATTTTCAACTTTTTGAATTTTCAAATTCTCTATCTACTATTTAATTAAATCTGAATTTAAATCATCAGTAAATTTCTCTGTCATCTTCTCAAACTTATATCTGATGTCAGTATAAAAGAAAGAGAGAAGAAGAGAATAAAGAAAGAATTTCAAATTAAGATATGATTGTACAACATATAACAATGTTGCTCTCTGCTTGAAAAGAGAATGTTGAAAGAAGTTCCATTCTAATAATATTAATTAAAGCTAGATCAAATAGATTACATAAATTACACTAAAACACATCAATACAGTTGATGCCTCATATTATCCGGTAGTTTCCATGTATTTAATACACTAATGTACACACTAAAAAATACACTAATTGTGTCCCCGCGGCCAGACGAGGGGATACTGAGAGAATGGATGCAGTGCAGTTACAGATGATCTCATGCTCGAGAATTGATTTCAGTCATGGTTCTCATCCATGGGATATTTCTTTGAGAAAATTGAATGAACGGATGAACCACTGAAAAAGGGGAAGAGGGGTAGTGAGAGAGAGAGAGAATGAATGAATGAAAAGCAACCCGTCTCAAGCTACAGCCAAAGAAAACAAAATGCTAGGTTGCCAATAACACCTTTGCGCTGGATATTACTATAGAAAAATATATAAATCAAATGGCTCAACGGTTATCTTTATTTAACTCATCCATTCCCCTTAGTTCTCTTGTCAATCGCATTTGAGGTTGTTCATGCACAGAAGTGATCAGGCCCCTCGAGATAAAAATGTTGGCATCAAGGATGGTAGACCAAGATGCGGAATAGAAGAAATGGCAAGAGAAGAACTTCCATGAGATCTCTGTGGGTCATATGTTCTAGTTATCTAATATCGCAAATATCAAACAATGATGATGCATCAAAAGGGGAATAACCTAGGCAACTGGAGGAAAATTACAATGGGCACTGTCATATGTTAAGTGCGAAGGGACGAAACAACTAAACAGCACAACGAAAAAATAGGGGGTGTAGGGTGGTCGGTCAGTGATCCATCAACCACTCCGTACATATATCATCAATCATACAAACACAACGGGAAAAAACATTATCATGTTCCACCAGCCACCGGCCGCCGCCTCCCATTCATCCATGCCAACCCTTCCTGCTTGCTTTTGACAACCTCCTTGCTTTTCTTGTAACCGGCGTCATCACCATCGATAATATTTTTCTCCTCCAAGCCGTCCAGGAGATCAAGAACGTAGTCCTGGCATTTATATCCGGGATATTTATTATGCACAACCGCAGCTTTGGCCACGTCCGTAATGGCCCTGATCTCTGATGTATCCACGTCACACAGATGGACCATTTCCGAGAGGTTCAGCAGTTTATGAGCGTCTATGTTTTCTAGCTCAAATCGGTAGTTGCCCGAGCAGCTCATGGTCTGAAGAATAAACTTTTCCCCCTCCGTGGGCCCGTCGATGAAGAGGAGCCAGTGCTTGTATATGCCGCGATCCTCGTAGATGGCTACGTTCAGCCCGGCGGTTGAAGGCATGTTCGAGAATTGCCAGTTTTGGCAAGAAGGGATTATGAAGTGGATATATATATATATCTTCACACAGACGGGAAGAGCGGATTAAACACCGTCGATAGCTGGTGGGGCGGAGGGCGGAAGGGTGAATGCCGACAGGTGTTGCGTCTCTACGAAATACGAATTTCGGTTGCGGACAGAAAGAATCGCAGAGATGAGAAAGCTCATGCGAATTTAGCAGTCTGAGCATTTCGAGAAAACCGGGATCCATGCGAGGGTGGGGAATATACCTGGCTCTGAGAGGTTTGATAATCTTTATGGGACCATTGACACAGTGCAGACTGGGTTGCCAGGTTTCGTTGCCTAAGACCACCCTCCAGCGATACGCTGACTGACTGCGAAATACCTTCGACAATCAGCATGATTGTGTCATTTGAAGCGTAAGGCCTCCATATCCAATTGCATGGAATAGTCGTGTTTACCCCCATGTTCCCTGCCGATTTCGCGCCCTTCGGTGTTTCAGTCTCTGTTTCCTCGGAACTACCTCTATCCAACCAACCAGTATCCTTTCTTCTTTGAAGGGGAGGGATTGAATAAATACCCCTGTGAAAGAATGCTTCACAACTTGAAAGCATATCCATGTCCTCTACAAGGACAAGTCACTGATCTCACGTTTGAGAGGCTCCGTTGCTTATTCGTTCCCCTATATATCTATACATCCTTCTCACAAGAGACTTCCAAAATCGAATGTACAGACGTTGAGGAACCAATAACAGGGATGATCTCTCTACGCTTGCACACTGCGAAATCTATTGTGCCAGGTTGAATGTGTGTCATGACCCACGATTCGTCGCACTCAGAACTTCCTGTTTGTCAGCAACATATTTTCGATTTCGCTAAAAGCAAAGCCAACAACCATTAGAATCCAAAATGGTTTCTTTAACGATTGCATCGATATCACTCTGGAAGGGAGGGTTTAAATAACCACCTAGCCTTGAGCGGCGACGAGGAGAAAGAAACCAGCCTGCTGCAGGAGGAGAGCTTGGGGCTCTATGTGGAGGATACAGAGGAATGAGGATAGGAAATAGCGCAGAATTTTCCATGTTAGGACATTGTTGAGATTCCTGGACAGAGATTGCTGGATAAGAGTCCCCGTTCTGAGCTCTGGCGACTAGGGCTGGAAACTGCCGCTCATCCAGTCCACCGCAAATGAAACCACCATTACTTACGCCTCGCGGCCTCGTCCAAAGATGTGTGAAACAATTGACCAAGCAATTGGCATATGTCCACATTGTCAAGTTTTGGGAACGAGAAAGGCGGTGGGCCAGGGAGCTCAGTGGCACGCGGCTGAGGAAATTATGCAGCTCGATATGATACCGGAAAATCCTGCCAAGGGCGAAAATCGCATGATTTGTCGTTGAATTTGAGAATTTCTTTTGCGATGTCATAATTCTCCACCACCGCCATGAGATCCTCCAGCTTCCAGTCTGTATCTAACTCATGATATTCCCAGACACACACCCCCCAGCGCAACTGGGACTCCATATTTAGGTTAGGGATGTTCGAGCACTCCGTTTCCGTCAATGTTCAGATAAATCGTAAAAGCGCTGTCGCCAGTATTGGTTTCAGAGGTCTTTCTATTAGTTCTGGGGCGTCTAATTTTGGAATGATCAGAACTCAACAGAAAACATCCTGTGTGTGGCATTCCTGGTGCAGAACCAACAGCCTGCTTGATGTGAAATAGTTATGGAAGGTAAACAGTGGCTGTTAATCATCGAGTGTCTTCGGGATTGCCTGTGAGGAATGCTAGATCTTGCGGCTTGCACTCAATGCGAAAATCAACCAG